CATATGGAATGCTGCAAATATAGTTCTAACCATCAGTGGCCATTATCCTTGCTAATACCCCAATCTTTAACTCCCTGTAAGTGGGGACTTTCAGATGAAGAGACTAATGAACTCCACTTTGCAAATGAAACCACCAACTTAATTAGTAGTAGCACAATGCTATGGAATAGCTCCCATTTATACAGACACAGTTTTTAATGACATTAAAGGTTTAATGCTGTCATAAATTTTAATACAGTATCTTAAACACAAGTGAGCTAATCACTCTCAAAAGTAAATTTACATAGCGGGTAAGAAATCCCCGACTTCATTAGTATTCTCTACATTCATAAATTCACTTTTGTCATATCTAAGGGTTTACAGTAATGGCACTGGCATACGCTATAAAAATCAATCAAACTGATGCATATTCATCAAGTGGCTCCTCTAAACAGATTGATGGTGCTTGTCTAGGTTCTATTACCAGGGAAGTGAGGTCTTAGCATATCACAACTTTTCTGGATATCAAAGTATAAAATGAAAGTTGATGAAAAGATTACTAAGGCTTCATTCTTGCTCTAACTATACACAGTTCTATAATTTTACATATTTTGAAAAACTCCCAAGTATTGAGGAGCATGCCAGAGTAATATAATATATAACCCTTCCACAGAGATGCACTGAAAATCCAAGTTAAAATATAAACAAGTCATCTCTGCAAAGGAGACAATTAAGACTTTATGAGCCATCACCTTATTAGGGCTTAGTGCCAGGCAGCTTGAGTCCCCAAGAAGAGCAGTTGCTGGGGAAGAAAAGGATTGAAGCAGGCATTATAAATCAAATACCTAAAAGAGCCTGGCAAAGAATGTAAGTCAAGTCAATGAGGAGATCTGAATGGGAACTGTGAAAATTAGAGAGGTTCTCCTTAGCTCCAGCTAATAATTGCCTCTTAAGAATGTAGCCCGTGGGGTTTCTACACCTTCAGATTATTCTGATTTTTAAATATTAAATCAAAGTTTTTGAAAACACTGTATGAGTCAAATATACGTGTTGATACTGTACACAGACACAGACATATAAATATTTATATAGCTGAACACACACACACAGATATACTAGATATACCTGCAAGACACCAAGTGTGAGCTGTCTGATGTGGGGGGAATTGTACTGCCAAGGGATATAATGTAGCAATGAGGAGAACACAGGGAATGGGAGAAAGAGTATAATGAAAGGATCAAGGGGGCTAAAATGGTATCTGTTTGCTCTGTTCAGAGAATTCCGTACAGCAAGCAAATGCATAGGTAAGAGGAGATCAAGAGAGTAGTTTCATACCACATATAGTCCTAAATACTGTCTGTAATTGTGAAATATGTTTTAGAGGTTTTCCCTGGGAAAATAAAGGTATATGTGTGTGTACTAGGAGTAATAATGTCCTCATCCCTTGTGTCCCTCCCCCACAGGATTCTGCAGATGTAAATTAAGGACCTTGAAATGGAGAGATTATTATGGAATATCTAAGTCACCCTCATCTAATCACAGGAATTCATAGGAAATCCTTTCTGGATAGGATCAAAGGGAAATATACCTGTAGAATGCTCAGAAAAATGCAACATTGCTTACTTTGGGGAAAAGGCTATGTTAAGCCAAGGAATGCAGGCAGCCTCTGGCAGCTGGAAAAGACAAGAAAATGAACAGACTCTCCCCTAGAGTCTGTAGAAAGGAATAAAAGTCTGTCCTTGATTTTAACCTAGTGAGGTTTATGGTGGACATGATATAGAACTATAAATTAAGTCTGCACTGTTTAAAGTCACAGCTTTGCCTTTTTTATAGTAGCAACATGAAAACAATGTCACCTATATAAATCCAAACTTTGGCAAAAACATTCATAAGCCTTCCTGAAAACCATTCACAGACACAATAAAGGCTCTTGATATTAGAAGGAGCCAAAGACACAGAAGACACAGGTTCTGAGAACTGAAGGTATGAAACGGTTTTTCCTCGTCATGCCCACCCCATGGCACAATCAGCTCAAAAATATCACTTCTACAAGGATGGAGTCATCCTCTGAAAACTACTCAAATGACATGTGACTCCTGAAGGCTCCTTGCTTCAGAAAGGTCTTTCCTCTTTTTCTGGAAATGTTCATTATGCTAGTAACGTTTTCCTGTGATAGCCAAGAAGAGGGCATTTTATTTTGTTTTTAATTGTATCATTTATTTATGGACATAACATCGGTTTACAACACTGCACATGACTTGAACCTCCCCCCCCCACAAATCTTTTCTCAGACAAAGAAACTTCCCCCGCCCTACAAACTTTTTCCCAACTTACGAATCCATTCTCCCACCTGACCTCTCCTCACCCTATAAAAGCCTGCATCCCCCTGACAACATGCGCAGCTTCACTGACCCCCACCTTGGGTCCATGAGGTCTGCCTAGGGTGCAAAAAATTTTCCCTTCCTTTGAGAAATTTAGCCTGGCTCTCCTTTTATTTACCTCACCAAACTTTTCATCATGGAGGGGTTGACACCTGCTTCACTTTGAGCTAGACCCAGGGGTATCAGTTACAGTATCAGATCTCTATCAAGATCCTATTGGGCACATTATGCCTAAACCTGGTCATTTGCTGGCTTAAAATGGAAGGGGGTTGTTATCAAGATTGTGAATACCTGACTCAAAGTTGTTTTTAGCCTCAGCTCTCATTTCACCAGTTCATCAAGTTTCACAATCCCTGTAATATTTTGAAATTTTTTTTTAAGTTCTACTAGAATGTCCTTAAGTGACATCACCATGACTGTGAAAAGTATATCTGTACTCTGAAGGTTACCAGCCCAATCTAAACACTAATCCTATTATACCAGGCATAACTGACCTAACATCACTCCTGACTGTGACTTAACCCCGGATCCTGTGATTGCCAACACTAGTGCATGGAATATTTCAAAATGCTGCCTGTTCTGAAAGTTAGGTCCTGCAAAAGTAGAAAATGGAGGCGAACAGGGATAAGGAAGAAAAGGACAAGTTATTTGGGATTATATGGAGATTACTAAAATATAGAAGAAGAAAGATCTGTTTTACACGGAGAAGTGGACAATCTGCTGGGAAGACACACGTGACTTTGTAAGGAAGGCTGCCCAGTGACTCTGATCTGATTCTTTTTCCTGACATCCAAAACACAAGCAATTTTACATAACTCCCCACACCCAAATATAAGAATGCAGTTCTATATGTTTTCTCATCTGGATGACTCTCATTCAATATATACTCTCAGCTCTTCACTAGTCATATATGACTGAGCCCCACCACAGGGTGCTTTAAATTTCTGACTTGCCCTATGATAATAAGAGTATTACCACTTAACCTTTTCCATCATAAATGAGATATAAAGTGGTTTTATGTTTACTGAATATCAAGCATCTTTGAGGTGATTAATTACTAATATAATTTCTCCCTATCAGCCTCTGTGGAATATCTACCCCAAAGGGCTACCATTTATTCTCTAGAAAAATATGATTTAGGTTTTTTTCCCATTTTTGCTTTTTCACTGTTTTGAAATATGCATGGGAACACAGCTCTGTTCTTGCTGAAAGAGACAGTGACCAGTCTGGTGTAGAGAGAGCGGTTACTGCCTAAATTGGTGTTAGTCAGTCTAAAAGAGCTTAACCCAATAAGCCCTCAAATAGAAGAATATCCTTCTCAGAAGAGAAATGACCAGGTTGAATCTTACCTGACCTGAGCTCAAGGACAATCACACACACAGGAGCTAGTAACTCCTGAGGAACTGTCATCAGAAAAGAGTGGTCACAGGTGTCCATGAATCCAACTGCATAGTAGTTGTACCTAGAAGTAGATCACCTTACTTCTAGGGTGTTATGCTTCTAAATATAGTATGCAGAATACTATATTTTTAAGATATTAAAATATTATTTTAATATTTTGAGAAATTAAAGTTTTTAAATAAATGTATTTTTGTGATGGTGCTTTCAAATGTAAAAATATTAATTTATTACTTTAAGGAGATGCTTATAAGTGTGTCTTTAAATTTATTATTGAGATACCATTGTTTTATAAAACTATGTAAGTTTCAGGAGTATGTTGGATATTTTAAAGCACAATTACATAGTACAGAGAATCATCTTGTCGTTTTTAATTCATTAAGACTCTGCTGCCTTAGAAAAACTTTCTAAAGGTCATGCTCTGAAACACAGCATTCTCTTTCCCCTGAGAGAAAGCTATGATTACACTGTACACAAGATCCTACAAAGACAGCTGACACAACTAGCGGTTGAATTCTTCTGTTTATTTCCAGAAGAGACTTTCCATAGACAGCTGCAATGCAAGGCTCCCATCAGAATGCCATGCCAACTCTGCTTCAGACAGCTTTCCACCCATGTCCTTGCTCAGGACTCACTCTGCCTGCAACATGGTCTAGTAGACCGGAAATTCTAGCCCTGGGGCTACTTCCAGCCATAAGAACACACTTGGATCAGCAACAGAGCCACACCTGCTATGCTGCAATCCAGGCATTTGTCCATTGAAACTCTGGCTCAGCCTTTTCCCTTGTGCAACATCAGGCCTTAATGTCTCAGGCCTCTGCTCCACCTCCCTAAGATTAGGCTGTGAGTACTCACTTAATGAGGAAGTGGTGAAGACGAAATGAGATATATGTGAAAAGTAATTGGCTTGATGTCTACACTGTCATCACTAATTATTATTATCACAGAGGAAAACCTAATCATCTCTAGCATAGAATAAAGAGGACAAAATGAAATCAGCCTTTCTCTCCAAGGGCATACTGTTTCAACCCTGTGAGCCTGAAGGCCAATTATCTTCAAACTAAAGACAAAATGGGTTATTTAAAATTCTGTTAAACTCAGATTCAATGACTCTTCAGTAACTTCTTTGACTCTATGGGATACCAACAAAAATCAGAAACCTTGACTCTTTATGGGGCACAGGCAAAGCATTTGGGAAATGAATCCCAGGCACAGTTTAACTTCTGCCAACAAAGGGCCCACCTGGGTTGAAGCCGCACTGTTTCTTGGCACCTAAAGGTTTGGTTTTGTGGACTCTGCTGAGCTGGTGTCCCCGCTCTCCCCCGACACTCCGACTGGCCAGGCAACACATGCTCTGTTTCCTGCAAGAAGAAACAACAAAAGCGCATGAGTTATCAGCTATCAGTTCCACAGAATTCTCCAGGTGGGGCTTGGGTCTTAGGCAGAGCAGCAGCACACTTAACCCTCTACCACTGTGGTCACTGAAGGGTCCCAATGAGTGACCCCAAACTTGAAAAATCTATCAGTCAGTTTGCTGCAAGATGACAGAACAAAGGGGAAAAAAAGCCTAATGTTCAAAAGATATGATACATTCATACCATAAAAGCCTTAGATATTAAAATTTTTATAGAATAGAATGAATATATCTGAAAATATAATTTCTAGAACAATGTTCATGGTGCAAGTTCATTTTTTCAAAATGAATCATATGTATGAATGTATATACACACACACAAATTGGAATAACATCAACCAAAATCTCAACAGTGACTAATTCTGAGATATCATTTCTTTAGGTAACTCATCTGTAATAGGAAATTTAAGTTAGCCTAAAAACTAAGAAACAAATCGCTTTTATAAATTCCAAATCCACTGTATCCAAAAAAATCACTACATTAGTAATCCTGTGATGCAAACTACTTATTAATTTTGAAAAATTCCAAGATGCTAAATTCTCTAGAGGATATCATAAATACACTAACACTCTTCCCAAGCAAAAATGAATCTGGGTTCAATACAAGGACACACATACCAAAATGAAAGACATATGTATATTCAGCAGCTGAATTACCAATTGGCACAGGCAAATTTTCTGTAAAATAAAATAACCCCTCTTTACCTGATAAGAACTACTAAAACCACAATCATTGAGAAATTTAGTAAACCCAGATGGCTATTGTTAAGCATTAAAATATTCAAGTGATATGGTGAATTTGGCTCTGATTGTGTCATATATTGTGAAAGCTATGTAGATCAAGCCCCTCCATTAGGGGTGTGGGATGAATTCAGTACAAGTGCCAGTTAAGGGTATATCAGAAGGTGATTTTTGAAATACTAGAATAATTTAGTGGGGCTATTCACCTAGTAGACAACACAAGCTTCAACAACAAAATCATATAAATGCTGTAGGGTCAGGACTGGACATGGAGCAGATTTTCTGATCCAGCAGACCGGGTAAAGGAGGAGTCAGAGTCCCTAGAGCCCTCAGTGAGTTTTCAGGGGTTTATTGGGGTTTACCGGGTACACAGGAGACAGGGATGCTGGGGGGGGGCCGGGAGGCTGACAGGCCTCCCAGCCCCCAGCAAGTCTTCACTCTGTCTGGGCTCTCTGGTGATCTCTGCTGCTCTGCTCTCTCATGGTTCTGCTTCTGAGCTTCTGCTGCTTCTTTCTCGGCTTCTCTTTCGGCTTCTACTGGTGTCCCCGTGACGCCGCCCTTAAAAGCCCAGTCTTAGCCCAGGTGAATCCCATCTACCTATGCCCACACCCTATTCCAGGTGTCTGCCATCAGGCATGCATTCAGGACCTCTAGGATCCATCATCTATCCTGATGGCAGGAGGGCAGAAAAGTCTGACATTTTTTTTCTTTACCCTACATACAATGCCATCCTATAGAAACAATAAAGTGGGAAGGGAAAGTAGAGTTGAGGAAAAGAATAGTTCCAGTGACATACAAGTTCCCAAGACTTGATAGTTATTTGTGAAAAATTCTACATCTATCCAAACACTGGCCACATTTTCCTCAACAGTGGTTTTCAAGAATGGTTTTCAAGTGTGACAGCTCTACATGTTACTTGCTAGGTGTGTGAATGTAGGCAAATATATCAATTATCTGGACCTCAGCTTTCTTGTCTATGAAATGAGGGTAATACACTAAGTTCACAAGGTTGTTGACCAACTTGTCATTAGAACCTCTTTTAGAGACAACTAGCAGCACATGGTGGATAGAAACAACTGATGATGATACTATTCTTCTTGAAATTTCCTCAAAGCTCAATTTCTGAAACTAGTATTAATCACAACTTTGGAGATTTAACACAAATGAATTCAGTCAAAACAAAATCTATTTTTGTGGTGGAATGCTTGTGTAGGGTAAGGTAAAAAGTATCAGGCTTTTCTGCTCTCCCGCCATTAGGATGGATGACAGAACCCTGTGGTCCCGAATGCATGCCTGATGGTGGGCACCTGGAGTAGGGTGTGGGCATATGCAGATGGGATTCACCTGGACTAAGACTGGGCTTTTAAGGGCGGTGTCATGGGGACGCCAGCAGAAGCCAAGAAAGAAGCAGAGAAGCAGAGAAGCCGAGAGGGAAACAGAGCCATGAGAAGAGTAGAGAGAATTTGAGAGAAGGCCAGAGAGCACAGAGTGAGGACTTGCTGAGGGCTGGGCGGCCTACTAGCCTCCCAGGCCCCCAGCACTCCTGCCTGCCGTGTACCTGGTAATCCCAATGAAAGCCTGAAAACCCACCGAGGTCTCTAGAACTCTCTCCTCCTTTACCCCATCTGCATGGGATCATAGAAAACCTGCTCCATGGCCATTCCTGACCTCACAGCTTCTTTCATGTTTCTATACTAACATACTAACAATTATAGTATTTTAAATATCATAAACATCTTAATGCATTTAGGACTGAAGAATCCTCTAAATCTTCTAAGGTCAACCAAAACAATATTTTTTTCCATCTCTTCACACAAGATTTTATCTACGTCCAATGCTGATAAAATTTTATTTTCTTCAACTGCTGGCTTAAATTTTAAATTAAAAGTTTTGATAACTAATCACTCCATTCCTAACAGCATATACAAGAGCATGTTATTACAGCTCTAATCACTGCATGATTAACTAGTCAGGTCACACCATAGTCTGCAAAAGCATTATATATTCAGCTCTAAGAATGAACAAGAAAAAGCAGTATAAATCAATCCTATACCACCCTAGAGTTCCTTCTACCTTACCTGGTACACCTGTGTGAAAGTAACTTAAAGTCCTTTTGAATAACTGGGAATTTAAAAAATTTTTACCCTTGATTAAAAGAACTATTGGATTATCACATTTATTTCATAATTGGAGGAAAGGATGCCCTAGTGGAGCAGATTTGAATTTACACTTAACAATGTGTATCTGAGGAACATACCTCAACATCATAAAGGCCATATACGACAAGCCAACAGCCAGTATCATTCTCAATGGTGAAAAGCTGAAAGCATTTCCATTAAGATCTGGAACAAGACAAGGATGTCCACTCTCACCACTGCTTTTCAACATAATACTGGAAGTCCTAGCCAGAGCAATAAGACAAGAGAAAGACATACAAGGAATCCAAATAGGAAAAGAAGAAATCAAACTATCACTATTTGCAGATGATATGATAATATACATAGAGAACCCCAAAAACTCCATAGAAAAACTAATTGAACTCATCAATCAGTTCAGCAAAGTGGCAGGATACAAAATCAACATGCAAAAGTCAGAAGCCTTCCTATACACTAACAATAAATCTGAAGAAGAAGAAATGAAAAAAACCATCCCCTTTATTATCGAAACAAAAAAAATCAAATACTTGGGAATAAATCTAACAAAAGAGGTAAAGGACCTTTACAAAGAAAACTATAAAACACTGTTAAAAGAAATAGAAGAAGACACAAAGAAATGGAAAGACATCCCCTGCTCATGGATTGGAAGAATAAACATTATTAAAATGGCCATCCTACCAAAAGCAATATACCGATTCAATGCTATTCCAATAAAAATTTCAATGTTATTCTTCAAAGAAATAGAACAATTATTGATGAAATTCATATGGAATCACAAAAAACCCCGAATAGCCAAAGCTCTCCTGAAAAAAAAAGAAGGGAATGGAGGCATCATACTCCCAGATTTCAGGCTACACTACAAAGCCATAATCATCAAAACTGCATGGTATTGGGACAAGAACAGACACACGGACCAATGGAATCGAATAGAAAATCCAGAAATAAACCCACAGATTTATGGTCAACTAATATTTGACAAAGGAGCAAAGAATATGCATTGGAGCAAAGAAAGTCTGTTCAATAAATGGTGCTGGGAAAACTGGGCCGCTACATGCAAAAGAATGAAGCTTGACTACTACCTCACACCATACACAAAAATCAACTCAAAATGGATTAAAGAACTAGACATAAAACCTGAAACCATAAAATACATAGAAGGAAATATAGGCGAAACACTACGTGATTTGCACATCAAAGACATCTTTACAGACACATCACCCAAAGCAGTGATAGTGAAGGCAAAGATAAACAGCTGGGACTACATCAAATTAAAGAGCTTCTGCACAGCAAAAAAGACAATAACAAAAACAAAGACAAACCCCACCAACTGGGAGAACATTTTTGCACACAACACTAAAGATAAAGGACTGATCACAAAAATCTGCAAAGACCTGATCCTGATGAGACTCAACAACAACAAAGAAAATAATCCAGTCAAAAAATGGGCAGAAGAGCCAAAAAGAAACTTCTCTGAAGAGGAAATGCAAATGGCCAACAGGCATATGAAAAAATGTTCAACATCACTTGTAATCAGGGAAATGCAAATCAAAACTACCATGAGCTACCATCTTACACCAGTGAGAATGGCACATATTAAAAAAACTAGCAACAACAAATGTTGGCGAGGGTGTGGAGAAAAAGGAACTCTTCTGCACTGTTGGTGGGAGTGCAAACTGGTCCAACCACTATGGAGAGCTGTGTGGAGATTTCTGGACCTACTAAACATAGAGCTTCCATGTGATCCAGCAATTCCACTCCTAGGTATTTACCCAAAGGACACAGAAACATCAATTCCAAAGAACACCTGCACCCCTATGTTTATAGCAGCACTATTTACAATAGCTAAGCTTTGGAAACAGCCCAAATGCCCAAAAATAGATGACTGGATCAAGAAGATGTGGTACATATATACCATGGAATATTACTCAGCATTCAAAAAAGATAAACACATGCAATTTGCAGCAACATGGATGGCGCTGGAAGGGATCATGCTCAGCGAAATAAGCCAGAAAGAAAAAGAAAAATACCGGATGGTCTCACTCATAGCAGG